CTGCTCACCTTAAAAGATTGCATTACTCATTGCTTTAAAAAGGGTTTGGGGTGTCCTGGGTTTGGTTTCCAAGAAGATGGAGGCAGAAACAGACTTTCCTCACCTTCTGTGGGAACAGGGACATGGTACAGGATGGATTACACTTGTGCAGAGGCGAAGAGGGTAGAGCTTGGTGGCATTTCAATGTGCCAGCCAGCATGCCAATCTCCACCCACTAGGCTCAGCCTGCTCCCTTTCCTGGAACAGCCCCTTGGGGCTCTCAGTACCTTGGATAGCACCTTCGTTCCTCACTGCCTGAGAAGAAAAATGTCTGGCTCACGCTTGGGAATTCTTTCTAGGTTTTAAACACATTTGAATAAACAGAGTGATTCTACATACATATAATAGAAGGCGCCATTCCTCTGCTGTGCTGTCCTTGCCAGGTTTCGGCAGCCTATGCCTGGCTGGTTTGCATCAGAATGTCCTCATTGGTGAGGGCCCAGCTTGCACTATTTTGGAGGCTGTGGGTTGTGGTGCCTGGCTGGAGGAAGTAAAGCTCTATGGGTGACCTTTCAAAGGATTACAACCATCTTTGAGCTGGTTGCTTTCTCTGGTTCCTAATCTGCCATCACATGAGGAGACCCCAACACTCGCGTCCTCCTCCATGAACCCCTCTTTGGCTCTCTGCCAATGATGGGCTGAAACCTCCTCAAAACTGTGACCATTTCCTTCTGTCCATTGCTCCTGTGGGGGCAGTTTGGTCACAGTGATGCAGACATAATACACGTCTCTACCTGTGTGTGCTGGTTGCAATCTGCTAAACATCTTTGTTTCCTGCCACGCCCTGCTCATGGTGGACACACGCCCCCCCCATCTTCCACACGTAGGTATTTTCACTCAGTTATGATCCTAGAGGTCATGGGTGTGATAAGCCATCTCAAATGCTGCTAAACATAAGGGGGAAATTGCTGACTTATGTAATGGAATATCCAAAGGCAGAGGGAGCATCAGGCATGAAGGTACTTAAAGAATGTCTTTCCACCCGGGCTCCATTCTTAGATAGACATTCTTTCATGTAACAACTAGCAACTCTAGGAAAAGGAACCTGCCTGTTTCCTAGGTATTCCAGCAAAAGTCCTAGGACAACCACTCATTGGTTGATTTAGGTCATGTGTCCACCAATACATCTATGTCTATGGGAGATGGAGTATGTTGGTTAAGTGGAATTGGCCCTTGCATTTAGGAGGTCTCTCACACCACTTGAACCATAAGGACCATGACTAGGGATTCCCCAAAGCAAAGCAGGGTTTGGCTATCAAATATATTGAGAAACAGCAGCTGGGAACTAAGACAACAGATGGCTCCCACTCTCGAGGGTTCCTCTGTCTGAAATGCCTTTTTCTCTATGTAGAAATGCCCCACTCCATCTCCTGGTGACACTTCTAGCATCACCCCATTTTCCTGACCCCACATTCCACCCCATAGTAATTTTTTCCTTTTTCTGTTGCTCCATACTATACTCTGCTGAAGGTGCCTGTTGGCCTTTGGAAGATGTTGGTGCTCTTGGCTAACCTCCCCAGGTCCAGAGCTCATGCACTTGACTTTCAGGGCTTTCTTCAGGTTCCACAGGGCCCAGAGCTACCTCTTCTGGAGGCTCAGTTCCTGTGTCTTGCTTGTTACATGGGGGTAGTCTCCTGCCTGTGGGTGTGCTCAGGGCTCACAGCAGGCTTTGCCACCATTAGGGTCATCCCTACTGCCCCTCACCCATTTCAAGGTCGTCCTTGTCTTCTCATTGGACCTAGTCTTGGGGAATTGCTCATCTTTCTTCCTCCTTTGGCCTCCTCCCCTTGCGAAGCTCAGACTTGCCTGGCCCTTCTATACTCTTTCCCCCTCTAGTACCCCCTCCTCCCATCTGCTGGGAACTGCAGTGAATAATTTACAGGGTAGCAATTCTAATTCATTCTCCCTCCCTCTCCTCAGCTCTCCCTCTCCCTTCCCCCCTCTCCATCCATCTCCTTCTTTCCATACCCCCTTCTCTCCTGAGTAAAGAACTGCCAGGTCGTCCCTGGGTCTCCATTGCCTAAAACAATTTGTGGCACCGAGTACATGCTCGGTGGATGCTAAAATCAAACACTAGCTTCAATAAAAGGCTGCATTCCTAAAAAAAAACTTCGTCGAGAAATCTCTTTGGCTGTGCAGGCAGCACAGGGTGTGTGGGTGAGTGATGACTTCAGCAGAATGCCACAGAACGCACGGGTTCTCCATTATTTATGGCACCGAGGAGCCTGTTCCCACAGCATGGCGGTATATTCTGAGGGTGCCAGAGGAGAGTGTGAGCAGCTTGGGTCCCCGCAGTCCCTGTTGACCCTTTCTGTGCGTCTGGGAAGAGGGGTTGGTTTTTCTTTTCACAGCAATAAAAACTAACAACAAGCAACTGGTTTGGAGCTGGCTCTGCTCCTGATTGTAAGCATCAGTGTGTTGGCAAGGGTGGGGCTGAGGTTGCCAGGCCTCTGGAGGTTCAGGAGTCTGGGTTAAGGATCTCCTTTGCTCTCTCTGTATCTGCTCTGGGTACCATTTTCTCCTCTGTTTTATAAGTCCCAGCATTACCACCCTCATAGGGACCAGGGGACATCCAAGAGTAGGACTCAACCCTGATATCTCCGCAGTGCTGCCAGACACTCTGTTCCAGCTAAGCTGGGTCCAGTTGGCCCCATGTGATTCTGAGTTCTTTGCACTTCTAATCAAGATCCAGGTTTCTGGATGGCACTGTCATGGTCTACAGAGGAGATGGTTGCTTTCACTTGAGCCAGCGGGTAGAGACTGAATAGTTACCTACTTCTTGATTAGTAAGGAAGAGTGGGTGGGTTTTCAGGCAGCACTTGGGCTTGTCATAGAGCCGAGGTGGTGTCAATCCTAAGCGCAGGAGCCTTGTTCACCTCTGGAGAGAGGTGTGCTGGTCCTGGGGATGTCAGGTGTGCTGGTCCTGGGAATGTCAGGTGTGCTGGTTGTAAGGATGTCAGGTGTGCTGGTCCTGGGGATGTCAGGTGTGCTGGTTGTAAGGATGTCAGGTGTGCTGGTCCTGGGGATGCCAGGTGTGCTGGTCCTGGGGATGTCAGGTGTGCTGGTCCTGGGGATGTTGGGAGTGCTGGTCATGGTGTGCTGGTCCTGATGTTGGGTGTGCTGGTTGTAAGGATGTCAGGAGTGCTGGTTCTGTAGGTGCAGCGTGTGTTTGTCCAGGACTGGGACAGAGGCTGCACATCACTGAAGGACAGAGAGAAGATGCACTGTTGTTCATACACAGAGGGTACGTTGCTGATCTTAGGCACAGAGGGAACACTGGCCTTTGAGTCAGACAAAGGATGGACGGTCCTATGGGCAGAGCCTATTTCAGCCCTGGAGATAGAGTTTTTTCTGACCTTGTAGGCTAGTCACAGGCTCTGCAGCCAGGCAGTCTTGAGTTTTGACCCTTGGCTTGGACACCCTAAAATGGTTGGGGATGGGGTGGCCTTTGGTGTTTCCACCTGTGCTAGCCTTTAGCTGTAGAAGTGATTTCTCATTTGAGATGCCCTCCCCACTCTGTGATATTCTGTGCTGATCATGGGGTTTGTGGTCACAGAGGCTTAACAAGCAATTGGGGAATGATGTGATGAAAAGATGACCTCGCGTTTGGCGGGAGTGGTGTGAACTGTGTGTGTGCTCAGATAAGTGTTTACTTCCTCTAAACAACAATCTCGCATTTGGTGTGAGTGGTGTGAACTGTGTGTGTGCTTGGCTAACTGTCTATCCTTCTAAACAACATTTCCCTCACGCCCCTGCATGTGTGGGTGTTTGAGGGTTAAACATAAATATAGTAGGAGACATCACACACATACTCAGCAATCAATCCACAAGGGTTGCTTCTTGCACATAGTCAGCCTTCAACCCAGAGTGGGTGCTACTTCTTGGGATTCAGCTACTTCAGAAGACTCCACTATCTTCTTCCTTATCCTCTGATACAGTCCATCCATTACTTTTTAGTTCCTTTAAAGATTTTTAAATTTTTTTGTGGGAGGAGCACAGCTTACTGCATGAACTGAATTTTCAGTGTGGGATTACCATGGGGTTACCCATGGTCTCCATGATGCACAACAGATCCCTAGAACCTGTTCATTTGTTTGAAAAGTCATGGTGCTGGATACAGAAGGCTGGCTCTCAAGCATAGCAGACAAGCGCTCTACTACGGAATCACCCCCAGCTCTGGTCCTCTTGCCTTTACATTGATCAGTAACTCCGCATCTCTCCCCTCCAACCCCTGGTGGCCGTCATTCTAGTCTCTCGTTTGAGTGTGGCTGTTTTAACTTAAGTAAATAATTTTCTCCTTAAGTACTGCCTTCTAGATAAGGAAAATGTTCTTATTTAATTTGACTGTTTTCCTGTTTGGTTAATTACTACCATTAAAATGCTAATAACTGTCTCCAAGTCTTTTGTGGCACGTGATAGTCTGGCTCTGTTTGGGTTACATACTGCATTTGTCAAGGCTGTAGCAAGGATCAGAGTTCTAATTCGAACTGGCTCAAGGGAAAGAGGGCACTTGCTTATTTCTCTGAGTGCTCTACAGGGTTGCACTAGACTGAGTCAAGGTTGCTCTAGAGAACCAAAAGATGGCGCAGGGCTTCTGGTTCCCACCCCTTCCTCCTCTACTGTCTTCACTCGGAGGCAGGGGGAGGGCACAGCTGACTTTTGCTTCAGTCTCCTCCTCTTCATAGGCCCATTAAAGAAGACACTGGGAGTTTGGGATTCAGCCCCCAATTCCATATGGGCAGGGTGTGACATCCTCACCACCCCACTGAGCTCTGTGCCTGGAGATGGGGGCTTCACTCCCACTCCCACCTCGAAACCCCTTGGGTGTGAGGAAGATTTTAGAGTAGGTCAATGGGAAGCTGTGCTGTTCACATAAGAGGACCAGAAAGAGGATGTGAGATGTTTGTCGTCCGGGTGACCAAACCACCTGTGTCCCCTGCTCGTCAGTTAGCAGACAACACGACCCTTTCTCACAAGCGCTTGCTTTGAACCGTGGAGCCTAGGCATCACATTGGCCAGGAAGCCCTTTGGAACGAGGTGTCTTGTGTTGACGTCTGGACCTGTCCAGACGCACATCAAGACTGATGGTAGCACGTGGGCCAGAATGGTGGGACTTTCTGTTCTTTATGTGCAAGGCGAGGTAAGTGACACCATGGACATGTTTGGAGAGTTTGATGGAATGATGGATATGAAGAAAGCACTTAGTGGATCTCTGTATGGTCTTCTTAAAGTTCTGTCTGTTCTATGGAACCAAGAATCTTGGTATGCAATGAGATACCAACTTTGCACCCATGACGAGGCATGCAACGGGCACCCATGGTGGGGCACGCAGGGGCACTCAGTAAGTGGAGTTAGAGAAAACACGCAATCTTATTTCACCAGGGCCTCTTCCATTCTTGCCATTGCTAAGTGCTGAGCTGTTTAGGAAAAAAACAGGCACCCTGAGGAGCAAGTTTATATATACCAACTTGCTCCTCCAGGACCTCACGGCTAAGAGCAGAGTTTGAGCTCACACCCTCCCAGTCCCTTTCGGGTACTAGTCGGCTGCTTCCTGCATGCCCTTTGTCCTTTAAGGCGTGGCTAGAAAACTGGCTTTCACAGTGTCTCCCTGGAACGCTTGGCTGAGTCAAGGTTGTCTTAGTTTGTTTCGTGTGGCTGTAACAAAATATCTGGATCTGGGTTATCCGTAGGAAGCAGAAGTTTATTTGTCACAGTGTCCTGGGTCCTTGGGACCTCGTGCTGCTTCATAGTATGAAGGTTTGAGCATGTTGAGACAGGGAAGGTGTCTCTTTCCCTCTTCTTAAAGAACTGCTAAAGGAGCCGGGCGGTGGTGACACAGGTCTTTAATACCAGCACTCAGGAGGCAGAGCAGGCAGATCTCTGAATTTGAGGCCAGTCTGGTCTACAGAGTAAGTTCCAGAACAGCCAGCGCTACACAGAGAAACCCTGTCTCAAACAAAACAAAACAAAACAAAACCCCCAAAACAATGAAAAACGAAAACAAAAACAAGCCACTGATGCTATTTTGGGGGCCCTACCTCATGGTCTTACTTCCCCCTAATTACTTCCCAAATGCCTCATCTCCAAACACACTGACGTTTGAATTTGTAGATGAAGTTTCCAACATTGAATTTTGGGAGGTGCATGTGCAAACCACAGCAAAGCCCCACCTGTCCATCCCCAGTCCTCTTAGCACCTGGAGTCACAGTTTTGAGTCTGTGCCGATCTTCCCTCACTGGAGGGGACTCAGGCTGATGTGGCTCCTTGTCCTTGGTCCTGTTGTACTAGGGAGTGAAGATGACTCTCCCTGATGCTGGAGAGCTGAGGACGCTTTTGCTCTTACCAAGTTTCCACCCTGGACCTTGGGCGTGGTCCTGCAACTCCTTAGCCTCAGTTTTGGATTCTGCGAAATGAGATGAGCAGTACCGTCTCCCACGTGTTGCTGGGGGATTAGCAGTCGGTTAACAACATGATTTGACAAACGAGAGCCTACTCATTGGCAGCTGTCTTTTAAGCCGATACTAGAACCATCCGTTTATGCGTATGAAACTGAGACTCCTGGTTGCCAGAATCTACAGCGTGTGCAGTGGGAACCTGTAAGCAGTGATTGCAGCATCAACAGCTGTGTGGAAGGGCCACCTGGCCTCAGCACAGCCCCGGCTGCCAGTGTAGACGCTGCCCTTGATTGTTTGGCAAGCTCGGAGAGCAATGGTCCCGTAGGTTACTGAGACATGAGTGGCCAAGAAGGGCCCTGGACACCCAGGCGGGCTGTAGATTGGAACAGAGCAGGGCAGGAGCCTTGCCCCACTGGTTCTAAGAAGCAGCAGGCTCATAGGGTCTGGAGAAAGGAGCTGCATGCTCTGCCTTTCACCCTGAGTTTCCCGCTCACACCCCTCTTTGCAGGAGCCCTCCTTTCCTGTGGAAGAGGCTGTGGTGGTCGGTCTATCCTCCTCAGGAGCCTGACGATGTTGAGAAGAAAAGACCCGAGAGACATCAAACATGGGTGGCCTGGGCTGCGATCCCTGCTCTGGTACCCGTGGTCATTAGACCCTGTCCAAGGCATCTTTGGAAAGGGCCGGTTCCCAGGGAGGTGCTCAGAAGTTCATTTCCTTCTTTTGCAGACCCTCAAGGGTCTCCTGAGGCCCTGAAGAACTGGAGGAGTCAAAGCGGAAGCAAGGACTGACGCTGGCTCCAATAGGTTACTTACCCCAGGGTCAGTGTCCCCAGCTAGGTATACCTACCTGCCCTTACGGTGAGGAGTGTCTTGTTCAGCCTCCTACGAGAGGTCCTAGCATAGGTGACCCGATGGGAGAGAAATGGACACCTGGCCTGACCACTGCGTCCATGTGCACCCTACCTCCTGTTAGTCCCACCCACCCCCATCAGGTCTGAAAGAGGCACCCTGTTTCTTTCCTCTTTGGCCTTGACTGGGGTCATGGTACTCAGGGAGAGCTCTGGAGGCTCTGGAATCCTGGCTTTGCTTTTAGAACGTAGAGTTCTTGTTGAGGGCTCCTCAGAAATCAGTATACTCAGAGTTACGTGCTCCATAGAAATGTAGGTGGGGTCAATAGGTTGGGGACCCACGAATGTCTGGGAGGGGCAGCATCCAGTCAGGCTTTCTGGGGGATGGGGAAAAGGCAAGTTTAGGTGGTGGATTGGGTCCCACTATCATCAGGAGAGTGGTTGGCCAGAAGGGAGGTTGACATGAGTATGAGGCAGAGATGGTAAGGGTTCAGGCACTGGGCCCCTCAAGGATGCTTGCTTAGGGACAAATCTCAGGGACCCAGCTTCTTCTCTGGGGGATGGCCATGACCTTGCAGAGGTTTTAGAATGAGAAGCCCTGCCTGGCTTTCTGTGTTCTGTGAAGAACAGGTCATAGCAACCTCTGGCAAGGAGCCAATGGTGCTTCTCTTCCCCTGCTCTCAGACAGCAGCTGCTGGCCTTCCTGCAATTTCAGATCTGGTTCTGACGGACTTAGGGAAGGCTGTGCTTCTCTCTGGAACTGAGGGACCAGAGAGAAAAAAACAAGGGTGGCAGAGATGATAGAATACACAGGTCGAGGGGACCGAGGGCAGTACCACAGAGGACGCGGCTGTCTTAGGAGGCCTGGGTTGCTCAGGGAAATTGGGATGCAGTTGCCAGAAAGGTGACAAGGACTTAGGATAAGATGCACAGCTGTCCTCGGCAGGGGCCAGGACTTGCTGCCAGGCTCCATGCTGATGTTTTTCCTTCTGCCTGAGAACGGAGGGCTCCCCTGTCCTTGAGTGTGGCCATCTGCACAGATGCCCCTGTTCCTGTCTGAGCACCCTTGGTGGCTGCTGGCAGAGGTGAAGAGTTTCAGGAGGCTGAGTAACGACCACTGGAGACGTTGTTCATCTTCTCATCTCTGGGCACTGTGAGCACGTGGCCTCCCATGGCGATGGGGACCAGCAAGGGTAAATTAGGAGCCTGAAGTAGGGGCCTACCCTGGCTTATCCATGTAAACCAGGCATGTGCTACACAATGGCAGTGTTTCCATCAATGACTAATCAGAGGATAAAAGCAAGCTGAAAAGCCCATCACTTTGTGTCTCCTTAGCTGTCCTAACAGCATAGCACAATGCTTTACTCATGGTGAGGCTGACATAGATAAAGCATTGCATAGCTCGCCGTTGCTAAGTGCAGCATGCATGACTATGGGTGGGACCAAGAACTTTATAGTAACCAGAAGTAGCCAGGGGACCCAGTTTATATATTGCTATACTATAATACTGATTGCTATTTTAGGGTATACTCTGTATACTTACGAAAAAGAATTTACTGCAAACGTTTGTTTGACTTACCACACTACAGTGTTCACACTGTCGTGCTGGGCCGTTCTGGCATTGTTCTGGGAGGGTGTCCTCACCGCGAAGGTGACATGGTGATGATGAGGGGGCAGGCAGAAGAGGTTGGAGGGGTGCTGTGATTCTGTCTGGAAGCAAGGATGTAGACAGTCTCTAGAAGCGAGGAAAGGCCAGGAGCCCCTCAAGTGGCACATCCTTGCCTGCACCATAATTTAGCTCTTTGGGGCCCCACTCAGCCTCCTGACTGAACTGGCATCCATGTTGTTTAAGCCCTCACGTCTGTGGTTGTTTGTTAGAGCAGCAGAAGAAATGGAATAAACACTGTTGTGGCTGACCTGTCGCTTTGTGGATGCCGTGCTTCATAATGAGCTCTTATTTCATCAGCCAAAGATAGAACCGTCTCCTAAAGGGTCCCCACTAATGGTCTCCTTACCCACCATCAGCCCCACCAAACTGGGCAGGCTGGCCATGAGCTGACATCTGCGACTGTCTGGGGTCTACCTTGGACCTTCTGCTCCGTCAAGACGTTTCCTCACTTCTCATAGGACTCAGCTTCAGGGCTGTCTCCCTAGAGAAGTCTGACACACTCCCCTTTGATACTTTATCAGCTCCCTTTCTGCACACTTCCTACTGATATGGATCACACTGGCGTGTAAGTAGGTGTTTCTTTGGGGTCTGTGGTGACTGGAAACCAAAGGCACAAGGACTGTGTCCATTTGCTATGAAGCCTGCATGAAGCATGTGCATAGCAAGCAAACACTTGCCAGATGAATGCACGGGTGACAACAGATCCACCACTAGAAAGTGGGGGTCAGGGAGAAACTCCTAAAGATAGCTACTGGGAATCTCTCTTGATGGCTGGCTTCTCCCCAGATTGCTTTTCTCAAAGTTCCTGCCTTCCTTGGCATTAATGTGGCCACAGCTGTGCTCTGAGCTCAGCCCTGGTGGATGGAAGTGGTAGGCACTGAGCTGTTAAAGCGAATCCCTGCTCATTTTCTCTTTTCCACAGGCAGAAGAGACAGCCCTTGTCTTCAAGGGGAGCTGACCACCATGATGGAAGCCTGGTCAGGATCACCCTGCAGAACCTTCATTTATCAGAACCACAGGGCCGCGGACTGCCGGGTGAGGAAGGAACCAAGTTCTGATGTTTTGAGCACTTTGGATTCACTTATTTCAGCATCTTGCATTACTATAATTAATGCAAACAGCATCTGGGAGTGAGAATGTTGCCATAACAACAAACCTAAATCACGTGGGACTGGCCCAGGGCATGGGCAGTGGGAGGAAAGGGTATAGAGATCTCAGGTAGGGAAACTGGGGCTCACTGTGTGGTTGCAGAATATTTAATGATCTGTCTCGTCAAGTAATTTGGAAGATCAAGGG